GAAAAAGTTCTTCTTGATTTTTCTCACTCTAGGGTATCCTTCATTAATACCATAAATTCTGTTTTTTAGTTTAATTTATCTACTTATGTACTTTTAATTGAATTATTTTAGAAACCTATTTAGTATCCTAATTTTCCATTAGTCTGTAAGAATTAATGTTCATAGACTTAACTAAATAAATWAATAAATAACTAAATAAAATCAGAGTCACATAGACAGATTTAACGTGGATCAGTTTCAAAACAATCTGATGAAGTGATTTTGAACTGTCATTTTTGTATGGCGAAATCTTGATTAATTTTTAATATTATTGGGATAATCCATTCAACAGCTGAAATCGTGTGATTGTGTCTGAACACGGTATAACAAAATGACCACGCTTTTGGGCTAATTTGGTTGGATAGAAATATTGGAAGAATATCGGCAGGAACTTTTGGAATTTTCCATTGATGAATTTGCATTTACAGACTATAAATAATCCTACTACCGCTATTAAAAACGTGTTCCAATGGAAAGTGTTGCTCTTTCAGTTCTTGTAGTAACAAATCCTTCAGGGGTGTTGTGGAATCCAAGACAATATTGCTTAGCTGTCAGAATTGCAAACCAATTCTGATGGTTGTCACAGAATCTGATTGGATTTTCGAACATACAAACCAGCTGTTTACTAATGTGACAAAACTTGCAAATGAATACATTTGGAATATAATTGGAATATTATACTAAAGTTTTTAGTAAGTTCCGCATTAATGGAAGATTTTAAGAGATAACATTTATCGAATGAATAAAGACGCGTTTGGGTGTTAAATTACGTTTATTACGTTTTGTAAATCTTCTTTAGGGGGAAGTCTGCTTTAGAAGTTTTAAACAATTTAATTCTTCTTTGCTTAAATTTCTTTAAAAATTATCTAAGAATATTACCCCAAAGTTATAGATGGGGACTCGAAATATTGTCAAAGCTAGAAGCTAAATAGTGACCGAGCCTCTGGCAGATACATATATGAGCGCTCGGGCAGAAAGTTTTACGATTTTTCTTAATTGGCGGGCAGGATAAAAAAACTAAACCTCCTATGAAAAGGGCAAAGTTTATTATCTTCTATTTAAACTGAAATATACTAAGAAAAGTTAAATTTGAACATATGTTTAAACAGCATAAAGTAAGATATTTTAGTCAAACACCACCAGATTTTTAGACTTTTTTTGTAATTTTCCTAGTTTAACTTTAACATACGTTTTTAGTAAATATGAATATTTTTAAATTTTTTGTTTCCCATAGAAATTGCGTCCTGCATACTGCCCGCCGTCCGACAAATGCACCTGTGATCAAAGAATTCGTATCCACAAACTGTTCGGGTGATATTAAAATATATAACTATAAACCCTAGACATTTCGCTTTAATCAACTATTTCTTTCCCTCCCAAAAAATAGCAGGTTCCCCCTTAAATGTCCGCATTTTTTCCAAAACTCAATAATTAAGACTTTTCGTGTTTTATACTTATGTTTTGTCCTATAGAAATAAAGATACATCAATTACATTTCAAATCTGTGTGCGACTATCTTCTTGATTTGTTTCTGACAGCAAAACCGATAAAATTGGTTTCCCTGACACCCAAAACCGATGCAATTTCTGTTTCGAAAATCAAACCAATAATGTCTGACTTCATGACACCTATTGCTTTTTTTGATCGGTTTTAATTCTGATTCCGACAACTATCAGATTCCACAACACCCCTGCTTATGTTTGTTGTGATCTAACGTCATCGGACGACTTTGATTTATAGCGCGATTCTGTGAGCAGTGTCTAGTCACTATTTGAAACATTTTGAGGTAAAGTCTCAATTTCTGATTAGTTACGATTCACTAAATAGTCTCTAGCGTGAGTCTAAAAATATTGACTCAAAATTGAGACCTGATTGTTAGCAGGTAACAAAACTAAAAAGAACTCTTGTTTGCCATTTTGAATATACTGAATAGAAATCATCATATTTCCGAATGTCATATGTTACATTACTTATTTTCAATAAATTCAATATATAT